ATCGTATCATTAGGAAATTTGAAAATGCAGAAATAATGATCTACATGACAACCATAAATAGGAAATGAATCAATGGTTTCGATGTTTTAAGAATGATGAATACTTGCTTTTTACTAATTCTTATTAATTCCAACATACGGCTTTATAGCCAAAAAAATGTCACCTCAATGACCATAATTTTTTTCCTTCTACATTATCACAGGCAATTTAATCACCGAAGCGATGACATGTCCAGGAAGTGAAAATGGTTAATTTCACTGATCCTCAGAGTGCTGTTTTCGCTTAGGGAAGCTTAAGCCTATTAGGGTGTGTTAGAGACTTTAATAAAAGTTTATTTGAATGATAAACTTAATTTCCAATAAAATATTATAGAAAAAAAATATTTTATAGAAAATTTAAATGAAGGTCGCCATTCACTACCTCGGAAAAAGAGGAAAAGCTACAACTACAAATTCGATAAAATCTATAAATTAAAATTAAAAGAAATATATTGAAGATTATATCGATGACTGTGGTATTATGACAGAGAGGAAAAGTTTGGCTCTGGCTTGACATGGAAGAAATTCGCTATTGATTCATGAGAATATGTTAATGCAATAATGCTTAATGATCTATTTAAGTTGATAATCCTTTAATCCTTTAAATGGAAGCCTGTACAACCATATTCTTTACTTTATCACTCAACAAATTTTTTGAAAATCAGTCGAGTTTTTCTGATTCGTGGTAAAATTTCTACTCTTATAACATGTCTTTGTAATTGCTTTGTATATTCACCAAATGTATTCGAGCAGAAATATTGAAACAATTTATTTAATGAAAAATATTTGCTTACTTACCTTTATATTAAATGATGAGACCATTATATTGTCGATATTAGGCACAGCAATTAATATACACGAACAAAATGATAAAATGAGAAAAATTTTTGATTTACGAATTATATTTTCCGCATTCCTAGAATTTTCATAAATATGCTTGTAAATATAATTATATATTTTTAAATTTAATTATTACACTTTTTTCTTGCATCTACCCTCTATTCTTTCATTCTTTCCCCTTCGATCTCTTAGAATTTTTATTATTCCCGAGGATTTTGCATATTGTTTCATATGTATTAATAAATGAAGTTTTGGTTGATATTTTTGAAGTATTAAAAATAATACTGGACTTCATGAAATTATATATTAAATTATAGTGAAATAAAGAAAATTTCTGAGAATGCTTGTCTAGTTTTACCAATTTTCTATAAATGCTTATAATGAATATTATCATTTATTTTTAAGAAAATTGCGGGAACATAGGAAGCGCAAATTATTATGGCATATTAAAATAATACGGAATATATATGAAAACATTAAACATTAAAAAATAATAATATAATAATATTTATAATTTCGGAGATGGCCTTACCTGATATGTTGAATAACATTTTTTAAATTTAGCTAAAAATTTCATTTTAACTTGGCAAGAAAATTTAAAAATATTGACTGAAAATTATTAATCTTAGGTATTTTTGAGGAATTTCTTTGCAATTCGCTAAGTCCATTTGTTTTGGAATAAAACATAATACATCAGATTGAAGAATCTTCCCTTTAATTCCATTTAATTCTTGTAAGAAAAAATATATTATAAAAAATATATTTCACTGAATAAGATAGGTCAATGAAGCGTCATCCATGGCACATCCAAGCGAGTATTAACCTTTCTTTAATTGTTTCAGAAGATCCAAATATAACATTACATATTTACATATTTACAGCAGAAACAGCAAATATCTTTTTCAATAATAAATAGTTGCATTGATAAAAATCATTGAAATTTTGAACAAAATCGCAGTTTTATTTTAAAATTACTAAATAAAGAATATAGATGAGCCAAATATTTTGTTCTTAAATAGATTTCTTAATTCTTCTATTCAGGTTAATTTATTACCACTTATTTATTTAAGTTAATAAACTTCGAGAAGAATTTCTATGAGAGAAATGCCGATGAAACGATTATACTTCCGAATATAGAAGTAAATTATCGGAAATTTCGTCATTATTGTCATACATGTGCAAAAAAAAGATAATTTATCAAGATTACAGTTTACAGCTAAGTTGTGAAACATCGGGAAGTTTTTCTTGCATATTCTTCGCAATTAAATTTTGCCTTCTAAAACACTCTGTGCTCTACTGAAATATTGAGAATCTTGCTCTTAAGGCAAAAAAACGGGCAAAATTTCTCCTGCTATATCTCTAGTTGCCACGCACAAAGAAATCCCTCCACTATTCTTTTTATACCAGCAAGATGCTTATTCATTTCAGCTGCAATATCCGTTGGTGATATTAACTTTTTACCGATTGTGTGAGAATTTTTCGCAATTAAAGTACGATATGTTATAAGAATTTCTATTCCTCCTTTCAATTTCTATAGGAGGTGCAAAAATTATTCAAAAACATTTCAAAACGCATTCGAAATCCACTCTAGATTTCCACTCTGGACTGATGGCTGATGAAAAATGCATATTCTATTCGCCGAAGATAAGGATGATCCCATATGTATCCGCGCCAGAACGTTCATATGAATACATTTTTTCATTAGAATGCTCAAAATTTATTTGGAATTTAAAAAAGCTGTTATTTGATTTCTCCATTGACCTTTCATCGAGCTCTATCCTTCTAGTCGATCCTTCGAAATCCATTGATTCCAAGGGGCTGAACTGATCTCGATTGAGAAATCATAATTTATTATCTGCTTTATATATGTTTATGATATTAATTAAATAACCTTGAAAAGAAGTTGCTCATCCGAATTTACAAAGAAATTTTTTTTATAAATTTTTTTAGTTTTTACCACTATGAGATAAAATAGCTGGGTGGCTATGGTTCAAATTATTATCTTGAATTATAATGTGGATGCTATATCGGTCAAAAATAAAAAAATAAATAAACTCATCATAAGAAAAAATCTTTAGATGTACTAATGACCCACATATTTATCATATTTCATATGATAATTTTATTTTTATGTGATAAATAGGTTCTTGCTTGGCAAAACTTCCTCATTAACAGTATTAAGTGAAACATGCATAATCAGTTATATTGTTATATTGTCACTTATTTGCCACTTATAAAAATGAATACATCATTTTATACTTTTTTCTTTTTTTGAAAGCAGAGATTTTATCTTGCAGTTTCAAACAATTGTTAAGTTTCTTGTATAGGTGTAAGAGAAAAATGAGAAAGCTACAAAATTCTCTGTAAAAAACAAATTATCCCAGCCGTTTCAGCGATATTTATTAATTTCAGAGATATGAAAACAAAACCTGGTTCGCTTTATCGTTGATAGTTTGAAATAAGCAATAATGTTCAGCGCAAATGCGGTCATATATCCCAATATCTGAAAGAAATTTTCGACACCTTCAATCAATTTTTAAAAAATTAATTCAATAAATTATAAGGATTAAATTATGAACAAATTAATATGTTTTACGATTCCATTCATTTTAATAATTTTTCAAAAAATTAACTGAATTAATTGAAACTTATGACATTATACAATTCTAAAGCCTATTTTATGTTTTCATGCTTTTTACTTCTGTTTTTTTCTAGTATTTATTCATCTTTGCATGACTTCTTGAAAAGAAAAATTTTGAAAGACCAATCAACCCACAAGAATGTTTTCGAAGAGTTTTTTGCTCCCCGTAATTCAGATTCGGAATAAACTGAATCCTGTTAGGAAAAATTGTGAACTCTAGTAGTTCTTATTTATTACTGGTAAAAATTATAACTGAAAAATCAAAAGACAGGATAGATTGGTTGAGCGATGAAGAATAAATACTGACATTAAAAGACTGTAAAAATAACCAAATTATCCCAACCTTTTCAGCCATAATAAAGACTTACTTCGTTCATATAGATGTAGTAACCAAATGCCTTAGAAAATGTCGCTTTTCTACCGCAAAAGAATTTCACATATCGTCCATTTTTTGCTAATACTAGAGACAAGGCTATTATGAGGTTGACGACGAGGTAAACACCAATAAATGTGCATAATTTGATGCCTCTGCAAACAAGAAGTTGTATTATCAAAGAAAAACTAATGACAAGTTGAAAATTTAAAATGAGCGATAAAAATGCTATGATGCCTTACAGAAGGTATGATTTAAAAAGCCTAAGCCAGTTGCGGAACAAAAAGATAATAAAATTGAGAATTTTTGAAACCTAAACATATAGATCTTCGGTTCGCGTATTGGTTACTATTATAAGCAAATCATTATATTATAGAAAATTTCTATTTTTTATTTTTTTTCATTGCCGAGTGATTCAGGCGGCGTACCTATACTTCTATCGTTAAGTGACTCCGAAGCAAAACTACGCGAAGACTATGTCCAGTTTAAGCAGAAGTGGAGGGCACTAACAGTCTGCTTATTTATTTTTAATTTTAAGTCTTCCATGTTAAAACTTTGATCCCCAGTGATCTATCAAAGTGACAATTTTTTTAAAAGGATACTCAAAGGCAAAGAACTCAGGTGATGCTCACCATTTCAACTTGGGCTCGCTGTGCGCGCCTGTAGGACCAGATTAATTTTAGGCCACTGATGATAGAAATACAGACAAGCCGTCAGCTCCACATGAGTTTTCGAAAACTTGTTAATCTTGTAAAGAATAAAGCAAAAGGATCAGAAATCGGAGCAAACCATTCAGCCATTCTCTTCTTTGATGAAATAAAGCAAAGACTTGTTAGAAAAACATAATGTGCTAATGAAATTCTGGATTCGCTTTTATAAATTTTTTATCATTCCAAATCTTCGAAAGAAAATGGCGTAAAAAAATTTTAAAATAATTAGCATCATTAATCATTATATTCTTATAAAAATTTTAAAATGATTCTTATAAAAAAAGATAATATGTAATTTGAGTATCTGTAGATCTGTAAATATCATTTTTTTTTCGAAAATTATAAATTTCTGGTGGTGAAATTATTTTAAATATTTTAAAGACTAGCTGAATAGCTTCTTACTTATATTCTGATTGTCGTTTATACCAGAATGGCCAAAAAGCACAAGAAACTTTCTGTAAACCGATAATAACAAGAATTAGAGTTGCGAGCACTGAACCAGCCAATCGAAACCATAAATCTGAATTTCTTGCACAAGATACAGTGGTCTGAAATAAGATATTCCTACTTGCAAGCTTGTTTTCAAAGATAGAATTCAGGAGACCAATCTTAAGGTAAATCCAAAATGCTTTATTCGAGCAATAAATCCATACAAATTTTCGAAATGAAAATATTAAAAAACAAAAAATAATTTCCAGACTTTTGTATTGAAGCTATCATTTCACACCATAGTTCGAATTCTCGCAATAAAATGTTTAGAACCATTCGCACCATTCTAATGTAACATTCACTACATTCATTTGGAACATTCATTCGGAAAAATTTGCAATTACTAACCTGCATGCATACCATTCCGATTTCTGCTATACTACTAGAAAGATTAATCTGAAACAAACTCCGTCCTGCAATCCCTAAAGTTGTACAAAAATCTGCAACCGCCAGAAAGACATATTCCTACAAAAAAAAATCACTAGAGAGCACATCATTTTCATAAAAAAATAATAAAGCTTTTCGACTAATGATCAAAAATTGTTTGTTTTAATAAGATCTATAAGATGAGACGTGAAAATGGAATGAAAAAGTATAGAACCATGAAAAGCTGTGAAAAATATGAAAATTGATCTTGGAAATTACAGGAAATTTCTTATATCCTTGCCATGAAATAAGAATTATCAGTTGAAAGATATTGATTATAGTGCCAATTATTCCGAGACAACCACTAATATACTTCCATTTTATTGATGCTTGCTCAAATTCGATTGCTGAATCACTCAAAATTTCGTAACTTTCACACATTCCTATAATTCCTCAGTTAATACCAAGTATTATTGTCGCTTTGATATCTGATAAATCAAAATAATATTTTGTTCATTGTCGTTATTCTGCATCACTGATAAAATTATCGTAACCCCAAATTTAACAAAAGAATTTATGAACAATTCACATTTCGATATATTCAATACGGTTAATAATTTAATAAAACAAAATAAAATATAATTACAATAATAAAATAAATTCATAGATTTGAAATAAATTTAAAGCATTTCGGATTTTCGCAATTTGATGCTCAATTGTTAATCTTAAATTAGTTATAGAAACAAAACGCGGTGATATTGAATATCTTAATTACTTTGTTTTCTAGGAACAATCATTGCTAATCAAGCTTGCTTGGCTGTCGGACTAGATAAATTTTGTAAGGGAGTAATATCCGGATTTTTGAAGGACATCTTTAATGCATAGTGTAGAAAAATTATCTACTGAGCCATTCTATCTCCTTAGTTAATGGATGTTTTAATAGTTTATGCATTTTTTAATTTTATCAGAAATTTCAATTTCTTTCTTATAATTATCAATTATTATTTCTTAATTCCATCAAAAATCATAAATAATTCACAAATAAATCATTTTAAAAAAATAATTAATTTCATTAAAAATTTTCATTAAAAATTATATTATAATGATTTTTTGTCACAAAGCCACCGACGCATTACGTTCGAAAGTCTTAATAGCCAACTAATTTTCAACAAATTCCATTCGCAATTCCATTAAATAATTAAATCTCAGAATAAATGAACAATTAGAAATATCAAAAATTGACGAGAAAATTGAAAAAATGAAAATTCTAAAATCTATTACTTTTATTCATATTTGCACCTTTTTTATATCTTTCTTTAGAAGGATATCAAAAACATTTTCAGTATAATCGGCATTTTGGCCAACTTCGCTTTCAAAAAATAATGATTTTAGCTACAATCATTTTATTTTTATGATGAGATAGTTCACTGGCATTGTTAATTCGATTCTTGTCTATTGATAGAAGTATACCTCTTCCATTTGAAGTAAAAGTGATATCTTTATATTTTTACTTATAAATGATTATCCTCCAATCGAATGTTATCCCATTAGTGAAGCCAACCAAATCGCAAGTATTAGAGGGAGAACTGGGAGAATTAATCGGGTGCTGTTGGTGATCAATCTGCATTTTTAGTGAGGCGATTTCATGACAATAAAATTTGAAATCTTGCAACCTTT